CAAAAAAAAAAAAAAAAAAAAAAAAAAAAAAAAAAGTTTCCGGTAGATATTAGCTTATAAACTTTCTCTTTGATTAAAAGTCACAGTATTTTTAAAATCCTTTTTTTCCTTTTCACTTCAGATGAAGAATTTGACATTTTAGGTAAGGGCATTCCCAAGCAATTAACCCTATTTTTTTTTTTCTTGCGTTATGCGGGCCTCTCACTGTCGCGGCCTCTCCCATTTGCGGAGCACAGGCTCCGGACGCGCAGGCTCAGCGGCCATGGCTCACGGGCCCAGCCGCTCCGCGGCATGTGGGATCCTCCCGAAACGGGGCACGAACCCGCGTCTCCTGCATCGGCAGGCGGACTCTCAAGCACTGCGCCACCAGGGAAGCCCTAATCCTATTTTTATCTCAGTTTGTAACTTCCCTTATGTCTTCACAAATGTGTGCTTTGGAAAAAGAACAGACTGAAAATGCCACTAAACTTTACCCAAGGTATTAAAATTTTTCACAGTATCTCACTTTTTGATATGTTTCCCAGCTCCATCAATTGTGAGTTTTGGATTTGCAAAGAAGATAATGGTGTGAGTGTAAAATTTCACTTTATCCAAATAATGTAGCTTTTTGGAGCTTTCTATAAATATGGTAACAAAACAATAATTTTTTACAACAATCTTGATATCCCATTTTCTGCCCTATGGCCCTATACAACAGAAACTGCATTATCTAGTTACCTAAACTACAGCTTCTAGCCTGCCTTTCACACAGAAGAATCACAGACATCCTTTGTTAGGCAGCGCCATGGTCTGCAATTGAGAACATGGTCATCAAACTCATGAAGCCACATTTTCTCTTAACCAAAATGATAGCCAAGTGATGATAATATGTTACTAATTGTAGGTGTTGTTACTCATAAACCATTGCTTTTACAGTGTGCTTTGAGTTACATCTTCAGAAAAGGTGGTGGGATATGTGATGTCGTTTCAGCACTCTTGCCTTGTTCATCCTGCGATCAAGGGCATAGCTCTGCAAGCTGGCTTTTTATGGTACGTGGCTTTGGCAGAAAGACCATTCTTCTGTGTGAAGCTAACTGGCCTATATATGGAAAGGGTCATGACACCACAGTACACCAGCTGATATAACCCACACAGACAAGCAGCTGCCCAAAGTTTACGTTCTTTCAGTAGAAAAACAAGGTAAAAACCAAGGTACCTCACACTTAGTCATTCAAATATCCTGATGATAAAGTATGATAAGGGCTCTTTCACAGCAAGTAGCTCCAATATTTCTTAAAACTGTCAGCACTTGATGTTAATCTTGACCACAACAAGATAACCAGTATTCTCAGAAGAAAAAAGTACTTAGATTTTCAGCATTTAGAAATGGTACATTAACTGAGAAAAATCATGGATTTTCATTAGCATGGATACTAAATATTTCAAGCATGACAAAAGCTTTGAGTAGGGCTTGGGAATGGGCCAGCCCTTGAAGGTCACTGAAGTCAGACCAATCCATACTACAGACCAGTGCATAATCAAACCTATGAAGAGAGTGTGTGAGACTTTTAATGACCCGACCCTCCATCCTGAATTGTGGAAGCTTTTTCTTGGAGTCTTATTTCTATATGGAGGCTCCCATGCTCAGATACAACGTTTGAACCTGCTCCCTCAGTAGAGAGGGACACTAGTGGGTCACCATGCTCTGTGTGAGAGCCCTGCATAATCCTAAAAAATCATTACCACATTATTCCCAAGCCTTTCCGTATCCTTACTGGATAATTCCACATGTGTTACTCTTTCCTCACATATTGCATTTTCCAAACACTGAGTACTTTTTATGGCTTCCCTCTGACCCTTTCCAAGTTCTCCATGCAGCTCAAAGTGACGTTGCTAGACTGGACACAGTATCCAGGAAAGGTCTGACCAGTTTGAGTGGAATGGAAGGATTACCTCATTATTACCCTTATTATTATCCATAATGAAAACATCAGGAGGAAAAAAATGAAGCAGTGACTCATACAATTATTTCAAATGACTGTTCTAGTGGGGAACTCACTTGTGTTGATGAGAAACTGATTGGAGACTCCAGGATGATCAACGTCATGAATAGCAGCTGCAAAAATGGCGGCCAGGATTTCCAAATCTGTGAAGACGGCCTGCAGGGCAAAATGAGTGCACTGAACTCCACGTTCCATTTGCCTATCCTGCTTAATTAGTTTCATACTAAGGTACCCCATTTCATTCTTGTTGGGAGAAAGATGGTTTGTTGATTTATACAATGTCTCAATATACTATTTTAATTAAATGTAGATTCTGTCCGTCATCATAAGGTCTCTTATGTGAGAGGATTGGTGGTCAGAGCCCATGCCCACATCGAGCCTGCAGGCTGAGGCTCGGGGAAGGCGTTAGCACAGCGCTCATGGTAAGAGATCAGGTGGTACCTGATATTTGTTTCTTGGATAAGTGGTATAACAGGATGGTGCTTATGCAACACAAGCACATATAGTGGTCAAAGAAGCACGTCAGACTGGCTCTGCTCTGATATAAAAAGCTTCATATGCTTTCAGGCTGAATAACTAAGGCCAAATTCCAGATTTATAAGCCTGCCAATAAGTTATTTCTTAAAGCTAAATTTGTAGCATGGTCAGAGCTTTCACACATTTATTCATTCATCCATTCAATCAATACCTATCCACTCAGTGATTAGTATGGACAAGATATGAGGACATTTCTGAGAAATGAGACCTAATGCCAACTGCTCAACTCCTTCATGCCATCCCGTGAAGCCTCCCTCCTCTGCCCCTACCTGTACGCAATGATTTAAACCTAGTATTTATTTAGGTATAAATTGCTTCTGGCTGAAATGTCTTTCATCATTCTCTGTGGTAACTTAAATCTTCTGATCCTTCAATTCAATCTAATTATGCAAGGACACATTGAACTCTCCCTTCTCTAAACATCTGTGGTTCTCATGCTCAATTTCCAGCCACACAGTAGGTAACAGCAGCAGACAGTTGATAAATAGTGTTGGCCCACTGTGTGATACTGACAGAGAACATAAAAATAATACTGTTTTTTTTTTTTCCTTCAGGGCTATAAAACAGTCTTAGCTTCTTGGATTTCATTTCTCAGAATATATGGAACCCAAGCAATAGAGCTGGGGTCCGTCTAATCTTTCTTCACCTTCCAAACTGAATCTGCAGAGGTGGGCTTGGCTAGGGCGTGGCCAGTCCCTTCCCACAGTGAGCCTACACATTTTGGAAATACCTGACCACCACTGCCATCTGTCAAGGAAGAGCATGGACTGCTGTACCCACTGGGCTGCTTATAGTGATATATACAAATGCATTAATCTGTGAGAGAAGCAGTCACAGCCACCTTCTAGAGAGATGTCTAACAAGTTGGAAAGCTGTTCCTCTGCTTTAGCATTGTTAATTCCTCAGTTCTAGATTTTTCCATTACTTTTCCTTCAATCCACAGAACCAGTTTTATGAATTCTTAGGCGAATAAGCCTATGGATGCTTATTCCTAACAGGAACTATATAGAACATTTTATATTATATTTCTGTGCTATCCCTCAGAGTACCTGGGATGGTGTAGGCAACTCAGATCAGCGCAATGCATACTGAGGATATACTATATACTAAATGCTGACCTAGACACTTATTAGGTACTAGAGATACAATGACAAATAGAGCATCCTATTAACTGCTTGATAATTAAATAATTTTTCAATTGTAACAGAGGTAAAGGAAAGGTTACTCTGATATGAGAAAGCAAGTAGAAATGTCATCCATTTATATTAATAACCCAATTGATACATGCTCTACATAATAAAGAGCCAGTCCCAGTATGCACAGACATCTAATTACATTATTTCTATAAGTATATCACATGTTGTATGGCACTTTTTAAAGAGGATGGGCAGGGTATGCAAAACAGATCATAACTACTCACATCTAACGCTGGCGTAGAAAGAAGAACATGGGTTGACTGGGCTACATCAGCAGCATGTAGGCTGTTATGATATGCCACATCAGCATGGTAATGGTCTTCTAAAGTCATCATGTAGGTAACAAAGGTGTCAGATGAAATTTTGAATGTCTTTAGGAGGTCTCTTTCCTATGCAGCAAAAAGGATTAGAAAATAAATAAGTGGATATCCAAAAATGAAGAAAAACCAAATCAGAAAAGTAAACTGGGATGGAAAAAAATCATAAAGAGCATCTAATTGGGTAACCAACATTCACTCCTGTTTACTCACCTGGAATATGGCATACATGATGCATGTTAGGGGCCTGTTGTGTGAATATCCAGCCACATTGAAGATGTTAAGGCCCCATTTGTTCAGGTCTTCCAGCTCCTATCATCAAAATTAGAGAAATTTAGAAATAAGGACAGTTTTGTTCACATGCCTCATTATTTTTATTTATTCTGGGGACAGGGGTTGGCTAAGTCTTAAAGAGTATCTATTTAGAGTGTTCTGGTTGCATGAACATTTGAAAATGGAATGATCTGGGAAGCTGAGTATCCTCTTCATGCTGGTTAGAAGTTTCTGTACATAGTTTTCAGAAAAGGGAGAATGTGTGTTTATTGATAAATTTTGTTGCTGACCTCTAATTTTTTGCCGTATGTCAGTCCTCAACCAATGTTGCTTTCAGAAGTAGGTGCAAGTGATTAGAGATCATTCTGGCCCCATTTCCCTGTCTCTCCCCTTCTCTGCTCACTGGTCCACGAGTAACAGCTAGAAAGCAATCTCAGGGAAACTCCTCTGCCCTTTGGTTATTATCACTGAGAGCCATGTCAAGGAGACTTAGCTGCTAGAATGTGTGTAAGTCAACCCTGATTTAGTATAAAAGGTCATGAAGATGCTAGTCATCCATTACATCCTAGAGCTCCTGGGCCACAGAAAGACTTGAAAGAAACATCATTCCATCCTGTGTTGTGGGATTATTCCAAGATTATCTGATTACAATTTATTCCATTATTAATTACTGCCCAGAGTAAGGGATCCAGGCTCTCCCCAGAGGCTTGGCCCAATGTGTAATCAACCTTCTTCTAATGACATCTTTCAGACGCTCCCTCACTGAATGTTCATTTGTTCTCATTTCATATTCTCACAAGGCCGAGAGAACCTCAGTAGTCACCTTGCACGGCCTCTGAGAGGAGGTATGAATTCTTTCTGAGCCTTCCTCCACTACTAGGGTTTGTGCTCAAGGGTCAAGGCCGTCAATTTCTCTCATTTCTTCTTCAGCTCTGCCAGTCAGTGCAGATTTTCTCATCGGTCCTTGGCATACAGTCTCTGAAATATCCTCTGGGGTAATTCAGCCCTGTCTATTGCCCTCACCTTGGATTCTCCCAATATGTGTCCAACAGGATTCTCCATTCATAGGTTAATGGACCCAACTCAGGACAAAATATGGTCCTTTGGTATAGAAAAAGGGCCTTTAACTAGGTGTTCAGCAATGGACAGCAGGCTACATCAGCCTCATCATACTATTTAATAATAAAGCAAAAGCGATCACTGTTTTCTAGTAGGAGGTTTTAGACATCTGCCTGCTATAAAGCAGAGCTACACGAGCACATACCCAGCTCATACACACCTTGGCTAGATGATCTTCATTTTCCGTGTTGACTCCAAAGCGTGAGATACTTGTATTATTTAAGCTTGAACTATGCATCAGTTTTTTCACTCCGCTTATCTGTGTCATGAGTTGTTGCTTTTTCTTTTTCTCCCTGTCTTTCTGGGTGGGAGATGGAATCTCCACGTCATTCTGCTTGTCTGCAACAACACAAAAATAGGTTTTCCAGTCCCTGTGTGCCAATGAGAACCCACTGCAATATTCAAAAACAACTTCTAACGGTCTATAATGGATGGCTCATCTTATGAAGGTCTGTCATAGCGTTATCTCACTTGATCTCCAGGACAATCCGGTGATACATGATTTTATTGCTAAAGCAGCAAACTGACGTCCAGAGGAGCTAGATAAGTTGTTCAAGAAGTGGCAGAGGTAGAACTCAATCCCATGTCTTCTGTTTGCAGGGTGATTTGGGACAATTACACTCATACACTTTCAAGGTGAGGCATCAATATTTATATGTAAATTTCTTATTAAAGTGAATAGCTTGTAAGTTTGTAAAAATAGAAAAGGTTCATGTAGTCAAGCCCAGGTTAATAAAAACAGGCTTTATGTTTTGCTCACTTTATTATGTTTGTAATTATTGTTTAATTTAAAAGATCCATATAACAGTAGCTGGGTTCAGTTTAGATGAGTAGTATATATGTTAGAGAACTAAATGGCTTCTAATCTTCAAATGATTACTCTAAAGCCTTGGCTTATGACGATTTGAGGTTAAGAGGAAGACTGTAATTTCAGTTTTATTTCATGCCTTGTGTCTATGAATTCTGCTAGTAAATAATAACAACGCCTCTCATTGGTAACAGGCATTATATTTATTAATGTATTTGTGCTTATTAAATATTTATAATCATCTCATTTAATTTTTAAAAAAATTCTGCTACAACAAGATAAAAGGAGGGCTAGGGCTAGTGAGAAAAACATATATCTACCTGCTCCTAGAAGCTCTTTCTTCTATATCACGCTATTGAAAATATCAGCAATCAAATATTCTATTTCACTTCTCAGGGAGATGGATGGATCCCGAGTCCTTCTGAAGAATGCATTAACTCTCTCAGGCCACAGGGATGCCTGTGAATGCACTGAGGCAATCATTTATTGAGGTGCTCTATAGCCACTTCACTGAACTAAATGACACCCTGTGGCTGAAAGAGTTAATGCAGCTTTCAAAAGTTCCTACATTTATCTCTACTTGTTTCAGCGAAAATGAGTCCAAAGACAACTTCTCTATTTGAAAATGACACATTTCCAGATGGCCTGCTGGGATCTAGATGATTTGCTTTCAACTCTTGCAGCTGATGGCATAGTCACACGTTCTCCCTGGAGACCTCCGCCTGCTCACAGAGCCCTGTGGACAACTCATCAAAGCAAAGTGAGCACAGTGAGGTGGAAGCAGCTGTCCTGGACCCTTGGCACCTGGCTGTAGGGCTGGAGCAAGAGATTTCTCTATGCCTAGCATCTCAGTGCTGTCTCTGGGTGCCCCCAAGTTCCTAGATTCATCAGCCTATGACTCTGCCTTAGGGAGGAATTTTAGTGGTCATCCCAGTTAGTTCAGGGGTTTCCAACCTAGTTCAGCATGAGAAACACCCAGGGAACTTTTGAAAAATACAGATTTATGAGCCCCACCCAGTCCTACTGAATCAGTGTTTTTTAAAAATCTTCCCAAGTGACTTTGATGATCAGAGTCAGGTTTGGGAACCAATAATAATCCCCCATGTTCACTTTTCAGATGAAGTCAGCAACTTTCCCAAGCTCAAAGGGCAATTCATTCAACAGATTATTTATTTTGCAATCACTTTGTTCCAGACGTGGTGATTTAATAGCTTAGAACCCAGGCCTTCAGGTTCCCATTAAAATCTCTTTCTGGTCTCTCAACCTTTGGCATAAAAACTATATATGGCATTACTTTTGAAATTACTTTTCTCCCTGTCACTTCACTCCTAATAATGACTACTTTTGCTAAAATAAAAGGCCACAGTAGCCCCTGCGTTTCCTAACCATCATTCTTCACCATTCTTCATGCCTGGTTAACGAAGCTGTTAGATCCTTCTGTGCCAATGCAAATATAAAACCTCTAGTGGGACTAGCAGCTTTTTCCCTTTGTTTAATTAAAGATTCCCTGCGACAGCGAGAAATTGAGCCAAACCACTACTGTGTCTGGAACATTACGATAAAGAAGAAAGCCATTATCCACAGAGAGTGCCATTTTGACATTAAGGGGTGTTTCCCTATGCAGGCATTGGAACAACTGGTGGGTTTCCCTATTCTGAATTTCCTCTGCTAAATGCTTAGCCAGCCCCATGCAGAAATAACCTGAAACACACACTCAAAGAATCATACTACATGCTTTGTGGGTTCACATTTACAGAATGGTGAGAGTACAGTGGGGAAAGAGTGGAACAGTACCAAATAAATAAATAAATAAACAGATGCAAAAAACGTCTCATCAAAACTCTGATAATGGCGTCATTGGAGGTGCTTTTCTTGCTAGCTTACAGCATTTAATCATGCAAAATTCCTGAGTTCTCTTCCCTGTGTCTTGAGAATTCTATGTTCCAGCTTTGGAGACAGTAAGTCGGGGATTTAAAGGGGTGATTCTTCTCTGTTTGAAAAAATATCAACTAACTTGTAATATCACATCTAATTATCTTGCTTTAATCTGTGCTCCCTCCCCCTGGGTCCTTTACTTCCTCCTGTACCAGCAACCCGAGCCCATTAACCTGTATGAGCATCACAGAGTGCCTGCACTGATGGTCTCTTGCCTGCATGTCAGCCTGTCCATCTGGACACCATCCTTTTAAATGGAAACAATACAAGTTTCACACATTCCCCGCAGTGAGGGATTTCCCTCCTTTCTGGATGACACATTTTAACTTTCAATGACTCTTTTTGAGATACTGCTTTTCAAGTTTAACTGAAATCAATAAGGTCTTCCCATTTTGTGCTCTTGGAGATGGTTGCTGTGCTCTGACAAGAGGCTCTTGTATTACTGGAAGCTGTTAACACATTTTTAGGTCCAACAATCCTGACTCTAAAGACTTTTCTCCATAGATTACATCTATTACTGAAAGGCGATTTTCTTCTGACAGCCTAATAACCTTTCCTAGTTAAAGAAGTGACAGGTATTTTGATCTAGGAGTCAAGAGAGTGAAGTCATAGTTCTGGCTCAGGGACATTTTAGCCAAGTAATCTTGGTCAAGTTACATACCCTTCTGGGCCTCAGTTTTCTTTCTTGGAAAATAAGGGAACTGGATGAGGCCATTAAGGTCCCTTTCAGATCTGACATTTTGTGAAGAAGGCTTCAGGGTCCTCCAGGAATACTCGCCATGCTCACAAGACAGGACATAGAGTTCCATGTTCTGCATTTGCAGTTTGGAAACAAGCTTTGTTTGTTTGCTTTTTAAGATTATCAAATTGTAAGCCTACAGGCTATTCCAGAGAATCCAGGTTGTCAGGTATGTCTTAGCAAGACTGATAAACTCCATCCATATAGAAAGTTAGAGCTGGAATGGACAGAGGGTGTCATCTACTCCAGTGTTCCCATTTTACAGTTGAAGAGGCTGATGAATCTTTTGTTTATATGATGGATTTTTTTCTCCTTAAATTTTCTCAAGAATATAATCTGTCTGTCTAGTCTGTTTGACCGGGTCTACCTTGTGTGTGCACATGCGTGTGCATGCAAACGCACACACACAAACACACACTCAGGCTCACCACCCTCCTAACGTTGAGTGTGTAAGGACTGAGGTTCTAACAACCTACCTCAAACCACTTGTTGTTGATAATTTAATTTGGGGGGGAATAATGAGAAGCCAAATGATGGTTTTCCTCAAGAGATATGCCTCCATAGCAAATGGAATATTCAACAGAGTTGACAGTTACCCGTTCTTGAGATGCAAAGTGTTGAAACTGAGAATTCATTTTTATTATCTTCTCAGCCTCCTCACTTGATAGCCTTTGATGCTAAAATAAGAATAACTGGTATACTAAACTATTCTCATGGTCCTCGGCAAGCAGATAGTGAAAGAGGCTACAAGCCAAGAGGACTGCTTAGGTACAACCTTGGATGATGACGGGCTCAGAGACTTCCTGCAGCTTTACTCCAGTGGTCAGAGTCTCTTCTGAGACGACAGACAAGCTCTGATATTGTAACATGCAATGTTTATGAAAACAAAAATGAGTCCTTGCACTTACTGATTTTATTCTTCTTTCCCAGAGTCATTAACCTGGAGACTGTCCCTAAAACAGTCCCTAGCTTATGAAAAATAATTGGGTGTCGCACAGATGGACAGGAGAAGATGCCTGCCTTCAAAAGAATAAAGGGGGATAATGGAGAAGAAAAGGATCACAACACTTTCTGTTCAATTAGATTCTAGCTCCTCTTGGAGCTAGGATGTATGAAAAGAATCTTCTCTTTGTTCTCTGACAAAGGTTGCCACAACTGCCCCTGGAGAAAACCAGGTGCTGCAGACACCCACATACTGGAAACAGTTGGAAAGGCACTTGTCAATCATGCCAATGCCCACTGGCCACAGAGTAGCGCCATGAGCTTTCCACTAGGCTGATCAAAGATTGATCTGCTGATAGCAGGAACTGCTTTGGTATTAGAGAAATAGAATTGATTTTTTAAAATAAAACTAGAAGAGGTATGTGTTTCCATAAGACATCAAGGCAAATGCTCATTGATTTAAGGATATGCAGCAATGCCAAAAAGAAGGGAGGTGTAATGTTCAGCTGTAAGAATAGGTCATTTCCCTGGAAAGTGGAGTTCTGCTAAATGAGCATAGTTCAGTGGTAATTGAAAGTCAACAGAATCAGAGTCTAAAGGCTACCCATTCACTCTGAAGTACAGATTTGCAGGTTCTGCAGGCCTTATTCAAGAAAAATACACAGCAGAATGGCTTTAAACATGAGATCAGAAATTCCTAGTAATCAAACAGGATGCATGACAGTAGTTGAGAGGCACTGATGCAAACCTTTCCTGTCAGTGACATGTGTTAAAAGACTAGCAATGTGAAAGCAGAGACTGATAGGTAAGTATCAGATTAGGAAGATAATGATGCTGCTTGCAGAAAGCTAACTCCTTCAGAGAGGTGGAGATTCTTTCTGCCCTCCCCCCATGTATCGTTAAGAAATACCTTAGCAAAGCAACAGTCGAATTATTTCCAAAGCTTATTATCATGGGTCAAATCACCATACAGTTCTCCAGCCATCTCTCACAAAGCATCTAAAAGGAAACCTTTTGCTCAAAGCCCAGTTACTGGAAGAATTTAAAGAACGCCATGTCAGAGGAGCCAATAGGAGTTGTCCCTGAGAACTGGATGATTGAAACCCCCATCACCCCCACCCCACCCCCCTTCAGAGGTCTTGACAGAGATGGAAGTGGGTGGGTAGATAAGGAGTGACCTGAGGTCTATATAAATATAATTAGCCCATAATAAACTTCTCTCTTTGATGGGTATTTTCATTTATTTTTTTCACAACACCTTACAGCTTATTTTTTTTTTTTTTACGTTAAGGATTGTCTTTAGTTCTTATTTTAAATGGATTTGGTTTTCTGTCACTTAACCCCATCCCAACCTCATATAGTGATGTTCCTGACAGGTTGCAGAAATTAATATTAAAAAAAAAAAATCTCAGTTATGGAATGTTTCCCAGTGAATATCTTACCTAAGAAAGTATTTGAAATGTATTCAGACACCTGGTTCCCGGATCGGCTCATTCAGCATTCTTTTGAACTGTTTATAAAGAACAAAAATGTATTAACCACCTAAAAAGTAGCAGATTATCATTTTAGATGTTTCCAACTTTATTAAGAACCAAGAGATCGAGTGAGCAGACATCATTAGATAAATGATACCGTTTCTACAAAATACAATAATGTGAAATTATTCCAACGTCACCTTAGGGAAAAAAGGTTTTCTTAAGATTTCTTAGAATTAACATCTGATTTCTTTTGAAGATGCAAACATAGGAAAAGGAATTTTAACAGAGGTCAAGATCATTTCACTTAAAAATGTAACCACATTTTAAAATACGTTTATTGGAAATTAACTCTAAAATATAATTTGAGTTAATAACCTATACAGTGAGAGGTGATTAAATGTGAAAAGTTTAAGGGAAAACAAAAGATAAGCATCCTTTAAAAATAGACATGTGTAAAAAGAATAGGGTTAAAATACAACACGGTCTATTTAAATACAATGTAACATAACATGCCCCTATTTCACCATAAGCAGCCTCAGTGGGCTAAGTGATAACACAATTAAATCATTACAGAGGTTTTCTACTTCACAGAAAACATACACATGTAAATGTTTCACATTCTATCAAAGACACATAATGGAATCAAATTAACCCACCTTGATGTAACCCCAAGATACAGATAACAAATAGTTTGCCTCAGGCATTTTGGAATGCACTCCTTGCCACAATCCACAAATCCCTTTGAAAGAATTCACAGTTCTGAGAGAGCAGTCCCCAAAGGATCGGGAAAGCCTTGCAGATTCAGTGGTAAAATAATCAGAACTTATGATAGACAAAGCCTCCGAAATTTAGGGCATTTTCTAATCCAAACAAAGCCCATCTTCGCACTCCGTTCTTGCAAGAAGCCTATGTTCCTTGCTTCTTCCCTGGCAGAGAGAGTAATGAAATCAGGACGTGCACGAAGGTGCAAAAGCCTGTCCAAATGCATTCAGCTGGCTGGTTTGCAGCACTTATGAATTATGAATAGTCCTGGTGGCCGAAGGGGTTTCCACTCTAGATTAGTCCTGCTCAGCTGAACTCTGCAAGGAAGGAGCAATTCTTCTTTCCCGAGGGGATGCCAGACTAGGAAACACAGCCATCTTTTTAAAAGGAGAAGATTAAAATGGAGGAAGCCCCATGAATATTTAAAGCAACCCGAAGTCGGTACCCTCCCCCATTCCATCTAGGTGTTCTTCACCCTCTCTCCACTGCGGAGACCAGGACACTGCAGACGCAGCCTCCGTACAGAGCTCAGCCGCTCTAAGGGTTTCGAAGTGATGGTGTGTTTGATTAATTTACTTTCCGAACATTAAAAAAAAAAAAAAAAAAACATTGAAAAAGCGAGAACTGTGGCTCTTTTCAAACTAGGCTTTCAGTATACAAGAATACTTTTTAAGCTAGCTTTTGGAGAGATTTTCTGCACACTAACGGCGTGCCAGTGCATTTAGACTTCTTTCACAATGAAACGAATGGGAATAGAATTAACGGATTTCGTTTGAAAAGTACTTCGTATGCAGAATATAATTTTCTGCCCTCCATCAGCTCATTAATATGCACACGAGACTGCATTCGACAAATGAATTAAACACATTTAACCTTTCCATCGAGGATCTGGAGTGAGTTAGGAAATACAAGCTATCGTTTGCTGCATGAATGGAGAATTATTCGGGGTTATGAAAGACTGTGCTGTTTTGGTATTTCAGTGTTACATCTTCTAATTCATGCTAGAAATATTTAAGAATTAAATTAATTTTTATTTTGTTTTTGCAATCTGGAGCATGCTGAGGAAGTCTTTCCTATAGTCTCTCTCTCTCTCTCTCTCTCTTTCTCTCTCTTTCACCTTGTCAGCTTTAGAAAGATCACAAGCAAGAAGAAAGTCTGTGACTAGAGCCCTGCAGTGGGATTCCCTACCCAGGCCCATCCCACTCCCCTCCTTCCACCTCCTCCGTTACCCCACCCCTGGACTCCCAGGAGTTCAAGTACAGCATGTTAAAGAAATAGCGAAGCACCATGGCAACAGTCTCCGCACGCAATTGGATCTCTTTCCTGTGAGGCACTCCCCTTTCAAATCAGCATCCTGCACAGACAATGGCTTCACTTCAAGCATCCAGGCCCCCTCATGCCACTGCCTGTGCCCAGGAGACTAGGCCTTTTGAGGTGAAGCCAATGCACGTCAGTATTGCCGTCCTTTAGCTCACTGCTCTATGCATTGTCCTCAAAGACGCATGCACAGTCACCCTCCTTCTGGGGAACCCTGCTGGCGTACGTGTGGGTCTTCCCGTGATATAATATGTTAGTAACAGTCACCAGAAATCTCTGAATTAATCATCTCAGCTAGTGTGTTTTACTTATCGAGCTGCTCTGCAATTTGAACTCCAGGTGAATCATGTAAGTTCTAAGTTGTTTATTTTTTTAAGACAAAACTGCTGTCATAATAGCCTCTCATTTTCAGTTCTCAAAAGACAGGCACTTACACTAAAGACTTAGAAGCTGAAAAAGACAGGTTTCTGTGCTCTGATGGATCAGCTGAATTTTGGCAAAGAAGCAAACTTTACTCGGAGCATTGCAAAAAAATGTCTTGTAGAAAGCATAGAGACAGATGGTTTTTCAAATTATGTCTCCGCACTAGACTTAGCCAAATGTAACATTCAAGCAATCATCCTCATTTTGGTTCCTTTGGTCTCTTGGAAATACTTAGGAAGATTTTGGAGTCAATCAGGTTTGTACTAGTTGAATAATGCCATTTCATCTCATGTATTTGGTAAATATTTACTGAACCCCAAAATGTGCCAAGCAGTGCATTAAGGATATAGCAGTAAAAAAAAAGAAAACAAAAAACTCCCCCAAACAAACAAAAACACTTTTCATGCTTTTAATAAGCTTTCATGCTAATAGAAATAGTCAGATATATTAGGGCATATTCGTTAACCACAACAGTTACTGTCTGCTGAGGCTGGGGCCAACTCTTTATTAGCCGTATTGACCCTTCAGCTCAGAATATAGGAGCAGCTAGAAATTCAATCATAGAAGACTAGGAACGACTTTCCTTCTTACTTTTTTTCTATCATCTCCCATTGCCACAGGATCCTGTTGGTATACACTGTCAATCAGTCCCAACGTGGGCACAGGGAGGTGGCTCTAAGCTACAGGGCTGAGAATAAACCAAACTCCTCACCTTTCCTGCAGAGCTCACAGATGGGTTAGTGAACTCATGTAAGCAGTTAACAGCTGAAAACCACCTCTCTCCTTCTCATGCCTAAATTAGTTCTCCTATGAGCCTTTTGCTAACGGCATGACAATGCCACCAAAACCCAAAGTCATTTTAAGGCAACCATAAAACACACAACATGATGAAGTAAGCAGATGGAGGTCACTCAGTGTCAGAAACTGACCCAGTCCTTTAAATGTTGCTTAGCAACAGCCTTTGGTTTTCCTCCTCCATAAGGGAGGGTCCAACCACATTGACTAAGGCAATCACTGCTCTCATCATAAAGCATTTATGAAGGGCCCACTTATATTGGGCTCTGTACAAACTAAGCAAGGCAGACATGGCCTTGGAGGAGCAGACAGGGGGTATCTTTTACATTCTAGTAATGCAGAGTCCAATTAGTATGATTAGTGCTGGCCTGTGTGATGAGACACGTCAAGGAATGGAATAGCTTGTGTTTGAGGTTAAGGCTACGGAGACAGTGGGGAAGCTTGGCTTAGTGGGGTTTTCAGTGTCTGATTCCCATATGGGAGTTGTTTCTGTTGAGCCAGAGGTAGCTATGATGTAGTAGACGAATCTAGACTTTCATTCTCAGCTCTCGATAACAGGTAACAGTCTGGTGAAGTCACCTTAGCTCTCATATACAAAATGAGAGTGATGCATGATTTTAGGATCTCAGCCCAAACCTGTCAAGATTCTATGATAAATTTTGTGGCAGCCTCCTACAGTCTGGACATATTATTTACCGGCAACCAAAATTTCCCAGAAAACAAAACTCTCTTAACACTACAGTGAAAAACAACCCAAATCGGAAACGCTTCAGTCCAAAATAGGTCACCAACGATGGAAGAGAAGTGGTTATCATCCCTCCAGAGTTTTATATTCTAAGACCCTTGGAGTCTCCCTGTCTCCTTATCAACTTGGGTATTCAGTCCAGATAAGAAAATTAAACAGCTCCTGAGGTTGACTGTGGCCCCAGGAGTTACAGGATTGAAAGGGAATAGACATTATTTACTTTATCAAATGCAGTAGAGAAATCCACAAACAGGAGCACACTATTTCAAAGATAAATGTGTCTCTACAACCTAAGGTACACATATCCTATTTTTCTGTTAAGAAGCTGCCTTCACAAGAAAACCCTGTTAGAGCTTACCTAGAAATAATGTCCCCAGAGGAAATGGCCAAAGCCCCTTTTCAACACAGACAAGCAAAGTTTGTGAATGAACCCTTAGTAATACAAATTCCTCCAGTGCTTCCTTAAACTTACGCCCAACACTAGATTCACGAACACGGCCAGAAGTTAGTTATTTTCTGAAAAGGGAAAAAGATATCATTCTCTACTTAAATAATTCGATATTGTTTGCCTAGCATATATCTTCTCTGTAAAATCATATGTGAATTTCTTTGAATAGGCTACCTTTAATAGTGGGAAGTTACTTAAAATATATAGAATAGCAAAAGCTGAAATTGAATACAAACATTTTGTTTTATGGCTTCAATTTTTCTTTGGCTTCAATGCTACGTACAGAGAATATTTTCTTCCGAGCCAATTTCTCCTGAAGGGATGGAACACTTCATCATTTTTCTATATTTCTCATCAGAGGACTAGTTTGGGCTTTGCACAAAGATCCACAGTAAAGCTAGAAACTCTCCTGAAAAGTTCTTGTTAAATCAATCACACAGGAAGGCTGGACTAGAATGATCTCGGAAATTCATCCTGGTTCTAAAACTTGGTGATTCTATCTTTCTAAGAATAAAACCATCTAGAAGAGTAATAATACAAGGGACTAGTATCAAGCACATAAAAGACCTACTTTTAAGACTAATCTGGGCTTGTTAGGGGGTGACCTGGAAATCACTTAAGAGTGAATCTTTAGTGATCAAAAATATTCTTCAGCCTATCAAAGGCTAGATAAAGCAGGCACTTTCCTCTCATTGATAACCTTAAGATGAAGTAAGTAGATGAAAACTGCAGATGAAAAAAAGGTGCCCCTGAGAGGAAGACAACCTCAGGAGTCACCCTTGTGGGTGGCCGTCTGCACAGAAGCCCATCTGTGAGACAGGCGCCTTATTGTGTGAGATCTTCCTGTTTTTGCAGTATGAAACAACCGTCAAAGTCATTAAAGTCACAATGACTTTATTAGGGACTAAATTTTGACTCATATTTTACACTTTGTTAGTCATAACTTAATAAGAATTCCCGGGCATAAGAAAAAGTGAAGGGGCTGAAAATTCTGCCTGGAATCACAGAATGCTAGTAGTGGTAGAAGGAAGTTGAAACTGCAGTGGCCGGCCCAGTTTAGTGAGAAATGGAAGTAAGGCAAGCTCGTCTCTTAGTTCTGGCACTCACCTGATGTGTGACCTTGGGTAAGATGAATTACCTTCTTGGGGCCCAGTTTCTGTAGTTGTAAAATAGCAAATTTATCAGGTTCTTTCTCATTTTGAAAAAATTGCTTCTTCCATATAGCTAAGTTTACATATGAAGTAACGAAGACCCAAAGAAGTGAAGGACTCGAATTCCTAAACACCTACACTTTCCTTTGCAAAATCTGATTTAAACAACAACAATGGGAATATAGTGTACTTTTTCTAAACCCCTTTATCACACTCACAATTCCCACAATTCTTAACACTTCAGGTTATCCGACAATGCATCTCATCTCTTGTCTCCTTTTTGTCTTTCCCTCTGAACTCTACTAT